GACTTTTTGGGGCAATCAAGTCCTGAAAGCATAACTTTGCATATGTTGCACAAGATGCCATCAAAGTTCAGAACAGACTAAATTGCTCTATCCTTGTGAGTGTTTATTTTCCATATTTTTACATTTAATATTCAAACATACTGTCCTATGAGTGTGTAGTTTCCCTTTTTTTGCGATCTATATGTGAATGCCGATACAAGCTTAAATGTATATTCCAAAGTGGGAAAGCTAAGTATTAATCTTTTGGTTGGAGATTACATTATCTTTGCAAAGTATTTTGTATACATTTTCATAGTGTGTTCTTGCACAAGTGCACTTAATCACTTTGTTTGCTACATAATATTGCACATATTATCTTCACTTATTTAAATACTTGTTGGTCTTAAAGGCACAGCGCACTTTATTGTTTGAATCAAAAAGAAATGAAGAGAGTACCTATCAATAAAAAATAAAGAAAGAAAAGAAACTATCACTAAGTGAAAACTGTGCAAATAAAGTACAGTTTAATCACTAATAAAATGAAAGAAATTATAAAAATAAAAATAACAAATAACTTTATTGGATATATGTAATAAAAAGTATAAATGTATAGAATGGAACACCGATAAGCTAGTTAAAATTAATCTAAATAATATCCCATAGTGTAAAGACATATTCTGATGTCTCCAATCACAAATAATATAACACACTGCACACGTCTGCGCAAAGTGAAAAGGAAAAGGGGGTGGAGGGGAGAGCGCCTAAGGTAGTAGTATGATAACTCAAGAAACTAATCAAAGTCTATATATATTGATTGCTGTCCATAACTAACAGCTAGAACCCAAACAGTAATCATATAGAAGTGAACTGTCAAATAGCCGTAAGAATAATGTTAACTAGAGTATATCAAGGACCAGATAACTTAGTGAAAATGCCTGCCCCATAAGCTAAAAAAAACGACAGTAATTGTCCTGACAATACAAAACTTAGCTGGTGTAGGGCTGTTACTTGAATACAGAGTACAGCACAAAGTTCTGCACTCAGCTACGAAAACAGCATGCAGGAATAGTAAGCAATATGCTGTAGGCAAAGCTGATACAAAGTTGCTACAGAGCTATCAAGTGCTGGATAATACGTTGTAACTATTCTTAGGTGGTAAATTGTGATAAAAAAAGAGAGTTCTAACAAAAGACCTTAGTCAGGTAGAAAGCTACTGCTGAAATATTGGGATCGCAGTAAATAAAGCACGGAACATGATAACGTGCAACAAAAATAATCCTGAGGCTAGAAACCCCCCATGTGCCTTCATGGGCACCAGGACTAACCCCCACTAATGCTATCCTAAATGAGACATCAGTTTGAAAAAAGAAAGTATAAGGTATAAAAAATATGATAAATAGATGGCGATAGAATAGCGCCAAAGATCCCCTGACGCGCGCGTTTCACCAAAGCTCGTCAGAGGGGAACTGGGTGCCGCCAACTCAAACATTTAAATATGAGAGCTGGAATGCTGATTGGCCAGGCGAAATACATTCTGATTGGGTGGCCAAGGGGTGATGTCATCGAATAGGAGAAGTGTGCCGACGGCTGTATTTGCCGAGCACACATTAACCCCTGACTTTCCAACACTGATTGAGTAAAAAAGTAATCTAATTAAACACACAGTAAACCAACTAATGTATAGTAATAAAAGAAAAAACGATCAATGAGACATAAAATAGAGAGAAGAAAGAAATGACAAGAGATACATTGGGAATAACTATACCCCAATTGAGACATAGTTGAGACTGTGTATACTGTACCTACATAATGATGGAGGGCTAACAGAACAACGTAATTGAAATATAAGCCATACTAAGAACTAATCCTTAAATAAAGAATAGGCACCATAAACATTGTGTATTAATTTGTATAGTATAATAGATGTATTTGATATATTTAATTTTGATTTGGATGGTGTGATCAGAGTATGTATCTATATCCATAAAGGCAATAGAGGAAACAAGAAAAACGTTGCAAGCTTTATATAACAGAAGCATATTTATTTATGAATGAACAGAGTAAAATTGAACTCCTCGTTGAGACCATTGGGAGACAGAGTCTTAAAGTGGTAGATCCATCTGGATTCTTTCATTAGCAACATTTTATTATAGTTGCCTTTACGGGAGTTCAAAGTTAATCTTTCGATAGCTTGAAAAATTAAATTACTAGGATCTCCATTATGATGTACCATGACGTGGTTAGATAGAGGAGTAGAGATATTGATATTGGAAATGGAACATATATGTTGTAGAATTCTCCTCCTAAACTGTTGATATGTTTTTCCAATGTATTGTACTTTGCAACTGCAAGTTATAAGATAAATAACTTTTGTGGAGTTGCAATTAATAAATTGTTTGACTGGGTATTCTTTCCCCGTACATGTACTTTGGATGACCTTGGAGGGTTTAATGTGTTTACAACTTTGCAGTGCCCGCATTGATAGACACCTGACACCGGGGTCAACCAAGTAGGATTATGAATTGGTTCTGTATGACTATGCACAAGATGATCACGTAGATTTCTGGCCCTGCGTGCCATGATATTAGGAAATTTGCTAATATTGTCCCTCAGGTCTTTATCATAATTGAGGATCGGCCAGTTTTGGGACATGATGGTAAAGACTGGATCCCAAAGCTGGTCAAATGTTCCAATACATCTATTCATTCAAATGACTACTACTGCTATCGAATCCCTTCCCATTTCCAGAACCAGGCATGGTAACCTGACTATACCACAGAGACGAGCCTTAAAAGAACTGACTACAGCTGTTGATCTTGTAATTAAACCCTCCGACAAAGGAGGGAATGTAGTTTTGAATTACATTTGCTTAGGGTTAATATTTATGTCGCGTGTCATCGCTTCAATATCTAGACATTGACATGGTTATGCCTGACTATGCTTAAGTGAGAGACATACATTTTGTACAGTAACAGTTGGTCTAAGTAGTCGTGACATGCAGTAGTTGAGACTGTGAGTTTGCATTTTAGGTTATAATAGATTATGCAGTGCTGACTAACAAAATATATCTATTTCTATTAAGGTTTCCAACTTTAGCTAAGATTCTCATTAAAGTAGGGTGCCACCAGGCAGAGCATCATATATTCAGTTATTTCCTTCTATACATATAAAGCTCAAGTAAAGATGAACTATATACAGGGTCATATGCAGAGGATATGCACGTTATTCAATGACTGCAACTACAGTGATATCTGGTATAGCTATTCATGTCATACTATATATTGTGCTTTTTATTATGAACGGCTGGGGTCACCGTCAGCTCCAGCCCAGCGCAAAGCCTGAGGTAATCTGGTTGTGTTCCATGCCCAAGTGTGGGGTGAGTCCCTTGATATTACCCCATGAATTCCACTTGTTCCTAATGTCCCGGTTGTTGGGTAGGTTTGCCATGTCTTGCGAGCCTTGATGTATTGTCGAGGGCTATAGCACCATGCGGTCAGTGGGTAAAGCTGGGTGTTCTGTTTGTTCTTCCAGCCCTGGTCGTTAGTGGAGCTTGCTTGCAGAGTGCCCTTCTGTGGTTGCCGCTGTGAGATGGGCATGTGGAGGAAATGCTGGCTGTGGTGGTTCTCATTTGTCAGCTTGTATGTTCCAGGGCTGTTACGTGGGGGCTTGAGAGCCCTCAGGGACCCCCGGTGGTAGCAAGTTGTGAGCACAGAGTGATCACCTTCTGTCGATGCAGTTGCTGTGCCTCCGTCAGCCATTTTGGTGAGACCGCGTGGGATCCTCACTCCGGCTTCAGACCATTCAGGTGAGATGTTTAGGCATTAGCCCGCCTGGTGGGGACCGGGATGACCCCCCCGGCCCATGGGGGGGGAAGCTGGACCAGGAAGGTACCAAGTAGATGGTGATTTACTGCAGTCGGAGTGGAGAGCGAGGCAGCGGCCGTCCACCCCGCTCCCCTCCCGGGTAGGCCTCAATCCCCGAGCGCCAGAGTCTCTCACCAGGACCTAGAGCCACCCTGCGGCGGGCGCTCCAGCTACACTGGGACACTTCAGGGCTTCATGTCATGGACCCCCGGGTCCGTATAAGTCGGGTAAAGTGGATATATTGCCTTTTTTCCTTTGTTTGCTCAGGAGCCCGTGTGATATGCAGCCTGCTGGCATGGCCGCCCGGCCCCGCCCCCCGGAGGGAATGTAGTTTTGATGGCTAGAGATCAATATTTGGAAATGTGTATGGAACATCTCAAGGATATACAAGCTTATTACTACTGACCCTACGTCACAATTTCTTAACGAGTTAAAGTCTATTTTAACACCAGCATTAACCAGTGGAACAATAACACAAGATGAATACAAATTCATTTTACCCAACCTCACTCCAACCATCGCTACTCTATATTGCCTTCCTAAAGTACATAAAAATATCTCTAAACCGCCAGGTCGGCCAATAGTATTGGGTAATGGCTCCATTACTGAGCGTAGCAGTAAATTTCTTGAGAAACTTCTACATCCAATTGTGGTTGGTCTTCCGTCTTATCTTCAAGACACTAAGCAGACTCTTATCCTATTAGAAAATCTAACGGTACCACCCTACTGCCTGTTGGGAAGCATGGATGTTGTGGCACTTTATAACAACATTCCACATGAGACTGGCCTCAGGGCAGTCAGATATTTCCTTCAAAAATCCCAAAAATTCTCCCTCACCCAGAGTAATTTTATCATTCAGCTCTTAGAATTTG